CCGAGAAGTCATTGTCGGTGCAGCAGCCGAACGGGCGGTCATGATGAAACTGCCTAGCCGGAGAGTTTGGTCGACAGTCAGGGCCCCCCGGCGGTAATGTTGTTTTTAACAACGAGACGAGGCATCCTTCCTTACGGTGACGGCATAGTGGAACTCTCAATGAAAGCACCAATGTCGGTGTCAAAACCGGCGGATCTCGGGTAGGGGGTCCCGAACTGTGCGTCTAAGGCGGATGGTAACAGGATGCAGGGGACATGATGTTTACCCAGGTTCGGGCCCTCTTGATGGAGGTAAAACCCTACGTCTTGCTTGATTTTTCTTGATGATATGAGTGTTACAAGAGTTGATCTACCACAAGATCTGAGAGGCTAAACCCTAGAAGCTAGCCTATGGTATTATTGTTTGTTGTCCTACGGACTAAAACCCTCCGTTTTATATAGACACCGGAGGGGGCTAGGGTTACACAAGGTCGGTTACAAAGGAGGAGATATGCATATCCATATTGCCTAGCTTGCCTTCTACGCCAAGTAAAGTCCCATCCGGACATGAGACGAAGTCTTCAATCTTGTATCTTCATAGTCCAACAGTCCGGCTGTCCGGAGACCCCCTAATTCAGGACTCCCTCAACGGGCTTGAATCCTTCAGGGAATTCATGATCCAGGACCTCATCAGTGAAGCAATGAGGGTGTGTGGGGCCTCTGTATCGGGCCGTATCGTGACGCGGCTCTGATGAAGTTCATCTACGGTGTTCGGCCTGCACATGACTGGGTTTGTCACGTCCGAATAGGTGGCCATTTGTCACGTGTCGAGGTGCGTCCTCGCGATCCATAGATTGATCTGGTAGGTCCTGCTTTATTGTTCAAGTTCTGCCGAAGGTCATATGTATGGCCGTGGGCGAATTTACCTTTGCTTGAGTGACGAGGCGGGGCGGGTTGGTGTTCGACATGGGTTGCCGTTTTGTCCCGGCCACGCGGTGACCGATCAGCCGCATTGTACGATGGTGGTATATACTCCGGCGCCTCCTCGTCGAACCGAGGTAGCAATTTACGCTTTGGGTAGCTTTTGGTTGGGCGCTTGAGGCCGTATTCTTCAGCTGCTAGGACATCAGTCCATTTATCATTGAACAGATCCTGGTCAGCTTGAAGCTGCTACTGCTTCTTTTTCAGGCTCCTTGCAGTGGCTATAGCTGGCGCTTGAAGTGCTCCTGCTCAAGAGGTTCCTCGGGCACGATGAAATCCTCGGTGCCAAGGCTCACCTCATCCTCGGAGAGCGGAAGGTAACTGCCATTCTACGAATCTTTGTGCATGACCTGTTTAACAGGGCTAACCTGCGCATCTTCCTGTTCGTCTTGTTCGTTTGTTGTGCCGACGGGGTCTTCGTTGTCTTCGGCACCTTCCGGAGTGTCATCTTCTCTTGTGTCGGTGTTGCTATCTTTACTGCGGTGGGACTTAGAGCGGTGCCGCTGACGCCGGCTCTTGGACTGTATTTCGAAAGGTTTATTCTCAACTGGGTCTTCCTTGTCGTCGCCACTGTTTTCCTTTGGTGCATCCACCATGTATACGTCATACGAGAAAGTGGCCGTCCAGCGTCCGGTGAACGGCGGGTTCTGGTCTTCTTCTTTTCCGGCATCGTCGTCCATACCGTCGATGTCCTCGGAGTCGTAATCAAGTTCGTCGGTCAAATCCTCGACCGTGGCTATAAAGTGGGTGGCGGGTGGAAAGCGAAATTCTCCATCGTCAACCCCTAATTCGAGCCGGATATAGTTCGGCTGAGAGTCCTCCGCTAAGGACAGAATTTTTAACGAGTTTAGCACATCGCCCAGAGGCGAGTGCTGGAAGATGTCTGCGGCGCTGAATTCGAAGATCGATAAACGATCAAGGTCGGCGTTTGTGGGCTCGTGTGGTTCGGAACCTATAGCCGGAGACGAGTCCGGTGTTCTAGTGGCATAGGCATCGAGTGAGACCAGGTCCATGTGCAGCTCCAACGCCGTGGAATCTGCGTCCTCCGTGCTGGGGTTAATCCTCCCATCTTTGGATGGCGTAGCCTGCTCCGGCTCTAGGGCCAGAGCGGTTACAGGAGCGATCTCCTGGATGCGGCCCGATGACAGATTTAAGTCATGATCATCGGGAGCGGCTACCGCGGTATCGAATCCGGCGAAGATCAAGTCTCCACGGATGTCCGCGACGTAGTTCAAGCTCCCGAATCTGACCTTATGGTCAGGGGCGTAGCTTTCGATCTGCTCCAGATGGCCAAACGAGTTGGCCCATAGTGCGAAGCCGCCGAACACAAAGATCTGTCCGCGGAGGAAAGTTTCTCCGCAGACAACGCCATTATTGATGATTGAAGGGGCCATCAAACCTTTCAGCGACAACACAGAGGAACTCTCAATGAAAGCACCAATGTCGGTGTCAAAACCGGCGGATCTCGAGTAGGGGGTCCCGAACTGTGCGTTTAAAGTTGATGGTAACATGATACATGAGACACAATGTTTACCGAGGTTCAGGCCCTCTCTATGGAGGTAATACCCTACTTTCTGCTTGATTGATCTTGATGAATATGAGTGTTACAAGAGTTGATCTACCACAAGATCGTAATAGCTAAACCTTAGAAGTCTAGCCTGTATGACTACGATATTGAGTATCACCTATTCGGACTACACCCTCCGGTTTATATAGACACCGGGGGGATGTAGGGTTACATAGAGTTGGTTACATAAGATGAAATCTTTATAGTTGTTCGCCAAGCTTGCCTTCCACGCCAAGGAGAGTCCTATCCGGACACGAGTGTAGTCTTCAGTCTTCGTATCTTCACAGCCCATCAGTCCGGCCCATAGACAACAGGTCGGACGTCCGAAAATCCCTTAGTCCAGGACTCCTTCAGTCGCGGCGGCGGTCTTGCGCGGGGCACGAGGCTTGCCTTTTCCGAAGGGGGCGGTCGTGCCAGACGAGGCGAGGGAGGCG